CAAAAATGCGATGCTAGACCGGGCGCTAAAGCTTTTTCTATTGCTATAAGTGAGGATGGACATTACGCAGTCTTCTTTTATTAGTGCATATTTTGGTGCATTTTTTAATTAATAAATATTAATTATAAATAATATTAATTAATTAATAAATAATAATTAGATTTTATTACTTCTTTTACAAGCTTTTATTTAACTTGCAATGTATGTTTGTTCGGGTGGAATCTTACAACTCAATTTTAAGGCACTTGCCCTCAACTGATTGAGCTGAAATTTGGTATGCACGTTCAGTTTGGATGACAATGTATGATAAAGAGTGTGACGTCATTCTAAATCCAACATGGCGGCATACCCAAAATGGCGGATCAATCATTTTTAATGCATTCCTACAATATGGATATCAAATTAAAGGGCTTGCTGAGAGTGACTCGATAAAAATGTGATGACACTCTTCATGTTATAAATCACACGGTTGTAATCCCACGCATCAAGATAATGGGGATGAAATTTTTGTCGCTATGATAGAAGATATGAAATGAAATTTATTTACATAATAACACAAAACAGACTAGAATCTCATTTGGTGGTAATTTTGATTTATTTGGTATATTTTTCAGTTTTTTGACAATATCTCCTTTCAGACTCATTTTACGATAAAAATAGTTATATACAAAATTAAACTTGAGAACCATTTATGTATCTATCTTTTTTTCATAAAGTCAACCACTATATTTCCCACCAAATGACTACTACGTTGCTTCCCACACAATGGAGGATTATGATTTTGCTTTTTCCCCCATGGCCAGCCAGGGTAAAGTATAATTTCTTCGTTTGCTAAGACAATCGGTGGATATAACACTATGTGATAGGATGGCAGAGCATAAGAAATGGTGGCCGTTTCCCATCAGGAGGGCCTTATTCTTGTTTTCTACTATTAACATGAAAACGTCTTTTGTAGTTGGTTTAGAAAGAAATGTTTTGGAAGGGTATAAAAAAAATATTTAGACGGTTTGAGTTTGAGTTTTTAGGCAGTATATCAGTATTCATTAATTAAGTAATCTTGCTTGAGTGGAAGTATGATAAAAAGTTTCTTAGCTTTATGTAATTTTGTTAGTACTTCGACCACTGTCTGTTGTGCGACTTGTGTAAAGCCGCATCGTGGCAAGGTTTCAAATGTTGGGCCAACATAAACATGCGTATTATTGTTAGTTGGTCGTCGAGATTAGAAGAATAATGTCTTGTTTTCGTCAGTGCACATCAAAGAATCTTGGCTTGGCACGCTAATACGTTAAAGTGTATCGGCGACCGATCTTGGTGTAACATGTTGGCTCAATCGACGGACGACAGTATGTTATCGACATAGTCGGTAGGTATATGTTATGGCTGTTATCGACTAGTTACGCCTTCCCGACACTCGTGCCTTTGATGATGTTAACTTATCTCTAATAGATTGCGTAATATCGCATCCATGTTCAGCGATATTGGAAACTGGCTCATTTGCTTTTACAAAAGTACTTGCATTTCCATAACGAGATTGATTATATATCTTAAGCCGGAAAATCCGGAATTATATTTGTCTGTCGTGTTGTGTCGTGACGCGTCAGAGAGGTATCGATTTCATACATTTTGTCGACACATCGCGACACACAAATTTAATTCTTACCGTACTAAATGTATGAAACCGATACCTCCCTGCTGTGTCACGACATAACACGAAAGACATATACTTATATTTCCGGCTTTACTCTGAATCAAATCAGAAATCAATATATCACTATTCAAATAGGATGAATAGTACAAATCTTTTGCATCGTCCAAAAATTTTCAATTTATGCATTAAATCATTTTAAGCATTAATTTTTCTTTGAGCTAACTATAGGCTGTGCTTAAACGTAACGCCAAACGCCAACTTTTGATAAGTTATTTAAAATGTATAAGTTACACCTCAATATAGTGGTATACAATTGTGGGTGCCTGTAACTCCATCTGTGTAGATAGACTGATTTTTCATAATTATTTCTAACATTTAACGATTTCTTTAAAACGGGGGTTTTGAAAAGTTTGTTTTTTGTAATAATTTGTTAACCGAATGGATTACAAAAGTATGTAATGTTTAGACTAAGGAAGGAAAAATCGAGTGTATTGAAGTACAAGGTGTAATGTGCAAAGCCGATGACAAGCAGCAGCGCGGATGCAACACGGCACGTTTGAAGGACACAACGAGTCACTAATGAGAAGCAATTGCTATTGTTAAAGTGAGACATCGCTATATGACGGATAGAGCAGCGTCCTGTTTCGACTGCTGCTTTGGATAGCGTTACGTACGACGTTCATGGTATGGTGCCAGGTCGGTCGTATTGACGCGGTCTAAATGTTATATACTTATCGTATGCCAGTGTCAATCAGATGTTACTGAACTGGATAGACAAACTTTCGGTTGAATTGCAACCCGATTAAGGTAGAAACCTCTTTTGAATTACGGAATTATGGGTTCTCTGTTGAATGTGCAGGAAATTGCTCTCTATTCAGATCGGAGACAAAAGTTAGGATTGATGATCTACTGGGATACCTTTGCAGATTGGTCTTTGTAGGTTATTGTTATTTGTTTGCGTAGAAGGAGGATATGATACAGATCTAAAGGAGCCGTTGTGTTTCTGAATAATATAAGAAAACTGCGTCTTTCAATGAGATTAATTGATAGTTGTAGGTATAGTATAAGTTCGACAAACTCTTGCAATACTCGAAAAAAATATGCTATATAATGTAAACAAATTATTACTCTCGACAATTTGTTGGATTAGTTATTTAAAATCTTTTTGTTAAATTCAGCGAAATAAGAGCTTGCCTATGCTATGCTCTGCAGTGTAACAGTTACCCAGCAGAAGAGTGCACTAACTAGGTTCTTGAACTCAGTGGACGCTTCTGCACAAAATGCTTGCTAGGCTATGAGCAATTCAATGTTTTGCTAAATATAATAAAACATAAATGTTAATTTTGAAGCTGCAACGGTAGAAATTGTTATTAAAAAGAACTTAGGAGCTGAAATCGCTTTGCTTTCTAGCCCATTTTCCGCTATATTTTCTACACTCGTTTGTCTACGTCTATTTAAAAAAAAACTAAAAAAGGTGCTTTAAGTACTTACTCAAAAAATGTAGAGGAAAAGAAAATTATAAGGACAATATCTTTAAAGGGTTGTTATAAGCTCGTGGCTCGTAATATTTCTTCTAACGAACTATCGAAATAACTAAAATAATGTATAACTTTATGAGAAATAGAGCCGGTCATTAAGGATCCTCTGGTACACGCTAACGACCATCGGACATCTAATCTAAAACAGTAATTTGTTCTTTCGTCAGCAGCGGCGTAAAAGCAGCAGATTTAGCAAATCCTAGTTGGAAGTCCCGGGTCGACCACTCCTGCGGGGTGCGCCACCCATCGGCCACCCACCCCCCGGCTTTCACTCTTGTGCGTTGGGGATCTCGCCCTCACCCTAAGCCCGAGACGGCCTAAACGCCAAAGCCGCTCGCTCCACCCTGCCTCACTCAACTTAGGTGCTATATTGGCCTAAATGGCACGAGGCCGGGAACATTTTTAGCCGTGCGTCTGTTCGGTAATAAGCGACCGCCACGCAAGTACGCCATTGTGGGGCGTGTGCCTTCATGTTTAAGGGCGATGGTGGCAGTACAACAGATCGCTGCTGCTGAAGACACCACACACCATCGAGCGGACGATCCCTCATCACCGGCAACCGGCACACGCTCTAGACGTTTCATGTTGTGTTCGTGGATATCTAGAACTTATTATTTACTCTGATACCGCTCGCTTTCAATGTTACACACGTGTTGATGCTACGTCACTATAACAAACAACGATCGGATGGAGGAATCCTCAATACTTTTATTAATAAGCGAATCATGTAGTTTTCATGGTAGACTTGACTCTTTCTAAACTTTTAATTTTCCAATATTCTCGATTTAGCTACTAATTTTCATTTTGTAATATTTCTTCCGGCCTATTATTAAATCGATTTAAATCTGACCAATTATTTTCCAAGATTAGTAAAATTAATTCTTTTTAAATGTACCATAGTAAAATTAATTATTTTTAACTGTACCTATGTTGATTGCCTGGACAAATAAATAAGCCACCGGTTCAAGTTTAGTTAACATAAGCAAATCTTTTGTTTAATTGACTAACTTTAAATTCGTTTTGGGTATAAAATATGGCATAACAATCTAATATTTTTTTAATTACTATAATCAAGCTACTTGACTTATTAACGTGCTATAAATAAATTTATAAATATTTTTAGTAATTATCATTTGGATAGGATAATATCAACATATATATTGTCAGGTCCATAACCATCCACTCGCAAAAGAATTGCTGGGCATTCCTTTTGTCGGTGTGCTTTATTTCGGACGAATGGAACTTAGAGTATCGGTGTCTACCTGTGGACGACAATAGCTTGATAGGTAGAAAATATTAGTAAATGGGCTTGGAAGTACGGACCATAAATTACAATAGTTGTAGTTTTCTAGGTTCGGATGATGAGTAGGATATCATGTGAATATGTATTCCAAATAAGAACGACGCAAGAGCAGAGTAAAGACAGAGCCCGAGGTCGGGCGCGCCCGCGTCGTCGATCTCCGTCACTGCGACATTCGTAGCGACCGCGACCCTACTGCCCACGCAATAAAGTCCAACACGCCGCGCGCGCTCGCTGACCTCACCACACACCGCCAGCAAATAATAAATATGTAACATTGATAAAGCCGCAGAAGCGATGACCGGCAAGTATTTAGGGATTCTTGTTTGGCAAACATTACCTCGGGTCATCGCGCCCGCGACGTCCGTCGAGGTCGCTCCGAAGACGTCGTCGACGGAGCGGACGGAAGCCGGTCCGCAGCAAGATGAAATACAGCACGCACCGTGCTGCTGAGTCGACTTCCAAAGAAGTGTTGCATTGCAAGGAATGTGAGTCACGTGTTGTGTGTACATACCTGCGTGTGGCGGAGTAGCGGGTGTCGTCGCTCGCACGGGGAAGCACTCGTATCGGATCGGTGGCGCGCGGCTGACTGGCAGCAGTGAGCGTCGGACGCGGCAGCAGCGGCCGCCGCCCGCGCCCCGCCGCCCGCTGCATTCCGTGCGTGCGCCCGCCGTCGGGAGCGCCGCCGCCGCCGCTTCCACTGACATCAGCGCCGCCTGCCACCTCCCCGCATCTCGCACGCACGCCGCTGTCACCTCCGCGTGACCCTCGCGGCCGCCTACCCACGACGACCTCGATCTCGACCACACCAAACCTAACTACCTATATAGATGTTAGGAAGCACAAATCCAACACCAACTATGTAATTTCCGTCGACATGGCCGAGTATTGAAATGGTGGAGTACCTAATGTTACGAAAGTTGCTGTTGTAATTAGGTGAAGAATTACTGCGAGTACACTACCAAATTTATTGTCAACAACAACTACAATCAGATTTCCATTCTGTCTCTTTCCTCAACTTTTCTTGGACGGATGCCGGAAATTAAGTTAGTAATTTCTGAATGTTTCCTCCCAGGCGGGTGAGTTGGTGCGTTCCTCCTGGACTTCCTACAACCTGCTATAGGGTTATGTCTGACTCTTACCGCCTAAAACCCAACCGTAGGGAACACATCTAACCATAAGGGCCTCAGACTTTATCTGATGCGATCGTCCTCACAGAAGGGGACGATGAGATAATGCAGTTTCATTTATCGAAACCATATTTTTTGTGTATTTGAATAATGTTTTGACATTAAACCTTAATAGTTATTTCAAAAACGTTTGAAAATGAAAATGTCTTTTTGCATCGCACCGGACATGAATCAGTGACCGTCCAAAATCGATTACCTACGATCGCAACCGAACAACGCTAAGAGAATGTGTAACGCCGTAAAGGGCAGTATAATCGGTTCCCCATTTAAAAAATGACAGGTAATTTACTTATAAAAATTTTAATAAAACTTGTAATGCAGCATGCCGGCACTTTATATAGTTGTTCGTATTTGCGATTTGTAAACTTGCCAACAGTGTTTCCTTTTCATTCCATACAGAGAGAGTAAGATAAGGACCATCTGCTGTCAAAATAACAATACATAGCAAATACGAATATAGCCACGTGAAACGCCAGCAAAACACATTAACATACATTTGAGATCGAGAAGAAAGAAGTTTCACGATGAAAAGTTCACGCAGTGGGTTAGGTACTCCCACCCGGTTAAACTCTTTCAGTTACTTATACCTAAATTTCGCATTCGCAGTTATCATGTTCGTCGAGGAGCTCGATGGCGCAAGTGGTTAGCGCATTCGGCTGCGATCGTTGAAGTTAAGCAACTTTCGCAGTGGTCGGTCATTGGATGGGTGACCAAAAATTTACTATCTCGAGTTCCTCCGTGCTTCGGAAGGCACGTTAAGCCGTTGGTCCCGGCTGCATCTGCAGTCGTTAGCACCCACCAATCCGCACTTGGCCCGCGTGGTGGGTCATGGCCCAATCTCCCTATTCCATTCATAGGGAAGGCCTGTGCCCCAGCAGTGGGGACATTAATAGGCTGATGATGTTGATGATGATGATGTTCGTGGTACCATGGTAACTTTACTAATGTTTTCTTAATTTTTAGGATTCCGTAGTGCCTGAATGAAACCTATTTTAAATCGCATATGATAGGTAAGGTAGAGTTGACTTTCCGCTCGATTTGGAGCGTCCGCCTAGGAAAGTAACTTCCATGTTACAGAAGCCAATGGTAATATACGAATGTGGTAACTTTTTCTACTGCCCAAATAGCTTGGATGTCTTTAAGACGAGAGTAAACAAGAATTTACTGTCTGTGCGTGCTCCATTCTGGAATGTCACACCGTCTCTATTCCCGCTTCGCTCGCACCAGCAGAAAAGCACAATTGATAAAAAAATACAATTCTTCTTTTTTTTTGGTGTACTTAGTGGTTATTTTATTGTTGAGTGTTACAGGGCTCCATGGGGTAGGGGATCGGGTTCAGATCTTGGAATATATGCTCCAAGTCTAGGGCCGTATACAGAAAGAAAGCCGAAAGCCGATCAGCGCTTATCGGCGCCGATCCTTACTACATAAAGGAAGCCGATTAAAGCAGAGCAAGCAAAATGTCGGACTCATCGGACGATGATTTGGTTTTGTTAGAAAATGTGTATTTAAAAATGCGAAAAAAGCTATACATCCTATAAATAGAGAAAGGAAACGTTTCGGAAAATACCAGCATTTATTTGTAAAAAAAATGAAATTTGATGATCAAAGATTATATACATATACAAGAATGACACAAGAAACATTTTATTACATTTCGGATTTAGTGAAAAACCGTTTGATGAAAAATTGGTGCAATTGGCATAAACAACCAATCCTTCCAGAAGAAAGACTTGTTGTCACCATTCGGTAAGTACGAAACAAATAATTTTAGCGCTTAGTTAGTTATTAAAAGATAAAGCTATTAGATTTATAAAGATTATAACTTAGATTGATTTAATCGAAGGGTAATAATTCAAATACAAATTATTTATTATTCGGATAATATAGATCATAATGTCCAGCTGACCAGCGCGTGTCGGCATTTGTCGGCGCTTATCGGCGCTGATCGGCTTTCTTTCTGTATACGGCCTAATACCGGCCATACACACTACGAGAAATCGTTACGATCAGACTGTACAGTTCGAACGGAACAGTTTATACGATATCGTTTAGTATAGGAAACTGTGCAGTTTTATAACATACAAGCTACGATTTATCGGTACCGTTCGGACTGTACAGTCTAATCGTAACGATTTCTCGTAGTGTGTATGGCCGGTATAAGGGTTCAGATCGGAAAAGTATGGTTGACTGGCCTATCGCGCCAACAGCTAAGTATTATCTTTTCAACAACAATGCCACTCTCACTTTACAAGATCCTAATAAAATATATAAATTGTTTATAATTTTTTTAGTTCCGTAATAAATAACACGTTTGTTACTGTTTAACCATTTTGTAAAAAAGTCACTATGTGAGGCATTGAATTAATTTCACTAAAATACTTATGTCTCATCCTTACATAATAGCTATTTCAACATTGACAGGCGCATGATGGCCGCATTTTGTTTATATTTTTATATATTGCAGAATAAGTACCATACTTTTATGTATGGGTATAGACACCCTGGTGTCGATTCTGGCATGTAAGTAAATTTAGAGAACCATGCCAGAATCGACATCATGGGTGTCTATACTGGCATGATTCTCTAAACTTAAGAATAAATTTGATGATAAATTTATTGGCTCTCTTTTTCATTCTGTATAGAAAATGACAAGGCTGCTGTCAAATTTAAGTTTATGTTTAGAGAATCATGTCAGAATTGACACCAATATTATTTTTAAATTATTTACAATATTCTCTACAACAGTGGTTCTCAAACTTTTTAAATGACGGAACCCTTTTGGGAAGCAAAATACTTGATGGAACCCTACAATAAAACAATTATTTTTATAAGTGTATTCTATATTAATCAGCATAATAAAAGTACAATGTATCCGTTACTAATTATTATTTACTTCACCACTTGGTAAGGACAATAATAGAAAACATTAAAAAAGAAAAAATCTAACTAGTGGGAGGTATGAAACTGTTTTTTATTTTTCATCAATTGCTTGATATCAGGTTTGATGGAAGAAAGTTGGAGTCTCATATCAGCTTCGGCGTCCAGTCTATTGCGATATTTTGTTTTCGTGGCTGCGTAGGTAGAGAATCCTGTTTCGCACAAATATGTAGTTGGGAACGGGAGAAGAATATCCAGAGCCATTTGGCCAAGCATTGCATATTCATCTTGGATTCTGCACCAAAAATCATTAAGAGGCGTCGTTTTGAACAATGACTCCATACTTGTGTCTGATGACATTTCTAAAAGAGATTCATATATCTCATTTGACATGTTTTCAGGCTTTTCCAAGTTGGGTAAAAAAGGATTATGAATCCAGGAGTTCACTTTAATTTTTGTATTGTGTTCTTCGGGAAAATACTTTTCAAAAGATGCGCGCATCGAACTGAGATATTGGACCAATTCTTCAAACACATTATCTTCAAACATTTCTGAGTCGTTTTCGCTAACAAACTCAGTGAGTAACGTAAAACTTTCTATTTCTTTCTTACCAATGCAAATGATCCAAAAATCTAATTTTCTTTTAAAAGTAGTTATTTTATTATAGGCCTGAAACACTGTTGTCTGTTTACCTTGCAATGATAAATTTAATTCGTTAAGTTTTTGAAAGATATCCGCCATAAAAGACAATCGGAACAACCAAGTTTTATCATACAAACGGTCCTTCAAATTAAAAGAAGTATCTGCTGAAAGAAACATTTGTAACTCGGCTCTAAGTTCAAATAGCCTTGTTAAAGTTTTTCCCCGAGACAGCCATCGCACTTCTGTATGGAGCAGCAGTGTTTTATGTTTGCTGCCATAATCTTCACACAATAATGAGAACAATCGGGATTGTAGTGGTCGTGATTTGATAAAATTAATTATTTTTACCGCTTCATCCATAACTAATTTTAGATTAGACGGCATTTGCTTCATCGCAAGTGCTTGTCTATGCAGAATACAATGACTGGAACTACAATTAGGCGCTTTATTTTTCATTCGTGACACTGCTCCTGCTGTTTTACCTGTCATCGCCTTGGCCCCATCTGTACAAATGTCAATGCAATTGTTCCAACTGAGATTATGTTCTTCAAAAAATATATTTATTTTATTAAAAATTTCTTCCCCGGTAGTGTTTGTAAGCAGCGATGAACACATAAGCATGTCTTCTTCAAAAGAACTTTTATATGGATATCTCACAATAACCAGCAGGATAGCCAAACCAGCGACATCAGTCGACTCGTCCATTTGCAAAGCGAATCGTGTATTTTGTAGACGTGTAACTAGTTCTTGTTTGACGTAGCTTGCCAGATCATGGATTCGTCGTGAAACAGTATCGTTTGATAGCGGAACAGTAGAAAGATGCTTTGCAGATTTTTCATCAAGCATACATTTTGTTATGTCTAATACACATGGTTTTATTAATTTCTCAGCGATAGTGTGCGCTTCACCTGCTTGTGCAATGCGATAGCTAACTAAGTATGATGCCTCCGTGGCCTTTTCGTTGGTAGTTTGTGTTACATGCATCATATTTTTTTGACTTTCTAATAACTGATCTTTTTTGCGAACAAAAAATTCTTTATTCTTGTCTTTAGTCTCGGGGTGTACGGTTTCTAAATGTCGACGCAATTTGGCAGGTGCCATGGAACTATTAGGAAGCAGTTTACTACAGAGCATGCAGAGAGGTGAGCCGTTGGAATCAACAAATCCGAAACTGATATAAGATTCATCATACTTCCTTTTTTTCGTCTTTGAAACCGTCGAGCTTGACGTCGTGGCACTCGTGGCATCATCTTCTGGATCGGTGATTGCTAAATTCTCCGCGCGCATTGCTTTTGAACATTCAGCGTCATTAGAAGATGTTGTTGGAACACGTTTAACACCTTTAAGCCAACGTTCCATTCTTCTTTATTTATAATGTTACAAGTCAGGATAGTGGGGTTTAAATAATGCACAATCGTTACTGCGTATAAGAGACTAAATTTAGAACCTACAGGGAAGAAATGTATAAAACTGAGACAACAGAATACAGCAGGCAGTAAAACAATGAACACCAGTTTCTCGCTAGCGAGCTTGTAAGTAGGTAGTAACTTA